TCAACATAGAAGGCTGAAACTTTGCAGGGATATTCTCTATGCACGTACGAGACAAAGATTTTAAACTCAGCCGGCAACGTAAAAAGCTGAAACTTTGCAGGGATATTCTCTATGCACGTGCGAGATAAAAATTTTAAACTCAGCTCTCCGGCTGAAACTTTGCAGGGATATTCTCTATGCACGTACGAGATAAAGGTTTTAAACTCAGCCCTCTAAAACCATAGCCTCAAGCAGCTCCAGAACCCAAAAATCGTTAGCAACTCGGACCTGAACCGCCAATTGTACCAACCAAAGCCTCAAGCAGCTCCTGAACCCAAAAATCGTTAGCAACTAGGACTTAAACCACAATTGCATGTGCAAATGAACGTGAATTTTTAGCAACTCGGGCCTGAGCCGCAACTGTATATGCAAATGAACGTTCGAGCAATACTTTCAGTTTTTCAATAAACTGAAAATTTGCATATTTTCAAAAATTCGTCCGCAGCTCAGAACTTAACCGCAATCGTATATGTAAAAGAACGTGCATTTTTTGACAAACGACCGCTCGAGCAATACTTCCACTTTTTAATGAGCTGGAAATTTGCATTTTTCCGAAAAATTTGCATTTGTCATTTTTTCACAAAGCGAGCATTTACCGAAAAAACGACCGGACTTCATGCGCAAAAACCGGTAATCATGGAACTGGATGTCCGTGTGGCTCCATAATGCACCACCTTCATCCCAACTGATGCCCTTCCTCCTGCATGCCAGAAAGGATCAAAGCACGGCCAGTATTAGCCCAAGTGTTAGGCTACAACGTAGGGATCATTCCTGCTAATAACGATCTGCGAGTTTAGTGCAAAAACGCATGATCGCACCGGAGAGCCTGGTGCGTTCCGGCCTGGGTTACAATTTGCACATGTGCAGAAACGCATAAAAAATGAACTGTGCGAAAATTTGCATAAATGCCTAAGAGCAAGTACGATGAACGATCTGCGTGTTTCTTGGATGCGTAGAAACATACTGTTATGAGAGTCGACCCAACCAAGCTTAGTAGCAAATCGAGTGCACGCGTCCACAATTCGTTGAGTATCAGTCAGCGCCCATTCACATTCCGCATTGCCAGCCATTGGAATTACTTGTTGGAATAAATCTGCAAACAAAATCTATGCTTGAAAACACTCGCAGTTTTTCCGAGGTTGGAAGCTCCCTGGTCCGATCGATGTTATTTTCAGTCGCTCGCTAGCAAGATAGCTCTTTGAACAACAATCACTTAGAGGGGATTTGAGATCTCAGTACAAAAAGTGCCAAAATGTTATCAGACCAGTCGCGCAGGACTTAGCTTACTTAGTAACAGGAGTACGATCATGCAAATTATTCACATTGTCGATCCTGGCATCGTTAAAGGCGAGTCCTACGCAACTGTCGCGATTACTGTATCGCATGGGTATGGATGAACATTTCATCGTTGCAAAGATTCCTTGGTCAAAAAGCCTGTCCCATTGCAAAAATATGACACACAGATACTGCTACCAGTATCAAAGGTATCTGTATTATTAATTATATTAGG